TTCTAAGAGGGAATAAAAAAGACCGCAGAGCTGCCGCCTTTCTATCTACAGCACCAAGCACCGGGGCGGAGGAGTAACAGTTCAAGGACAGAAATCTTTCCTGCCATCACAAGCTGTATTTCTGTTTACCCTGCCCGAAATATCAGCCGTTTCAGCCACCCAAGAAAGCCTAGAAACTTCAACTAGAAGAGAAACAAGGCTATTTTTGCTGTTCTGAAGCGTGTAAGGCTCCGCTAGTAATGGGTTACGAAAGACTTTTACTTTTCCTCTGTTTCAAATCGCTTGCTTGAAACGACTTATTTTTGGGAGTTTGGGGTTACTAAGCTGAATATCGCAAATAGAGGGGCTGCAACCTGTGCAGAATAAATGATTTAAGAACCGGGCTTGTCTGATTTCTTTTTTCCTCCACACTGGAGATAAAAACAAGGAACACATTCTAGTAATCCCTGCTCATTTTCACGGCCATTCTTGCACCTGTAACTCAAATAATGAAGCCATTTGTTATTTATATTGCACTTTCCCCTCCATTCTAGATTTCTAACGATCTGACCCTGTTTTATGGCCCTGACAAAGCCTGAAACCGGTGTGGACTTCCAATAATTGAACGATATAGGGAAAAATCTTTAGCTGGAACGAAGCAGATGTTAGCTTCATGCAGTCCCCTAACTTGATTATTCTTTGGACACGTTAGACAAGCATTAGTGATTGATAATGACGCTAATTAACCCCTTTCCTTTCCAAAACAGCAAACCAACGCCAGCAGGATTCCGCAAACACCACACGCAAAGTACGGTGCGTATCAACATCCATTCGGAGTGGATCAGCGACACAACTTCGCTGCCCGGTGCTCGACAAAAACCTTCTCCCGCCGACGCCGAGCCGGCTCCAAATCCACCCTCGGAGCCAGCCGCTCCCGCCGCTTGCAGGGCAGGAGCAGAGGCATCGCCCGTCCATGCAGAAAAGGTGCGCGGGGCAGAACAAGAGGCACCATTTATTTCCTTCGCTCCCCACCTTTCGCGTTCGATTACCGAGCCGGTGTAAATCACCCTGCCCTCACTAGCTGGGACGGGCTTCCCGCCGCTCCCCGTCGGAAGGGTGCTTCTTATTTTAGCTACACTTCGCGAACACGAGGGCTGATGCTCTGGGAATCTGGTCTGGGCTGAGACGTGCACATACCGAGGAGGGAAAGGGAAGTGCACTTTCTGGAATTTAAATGCGAGGCAGAAGACGAGTAAACAAACGAGGAGCTGATCTGATTACGCAGTCGAATTTATCATGGACAATAAAGAAATCGCCTTTAAATGTAAGGGTTTGGGTAAACGAATACTCCTAGCAAGTGAATAAAATGTATTCAATTAACTAAAAACCTCGTGCACTTCTGAACTGAAGTGGAATCGACTGTAATTGATTTATTTGAAACCAGAGGTTAAGGACTGAATTAGCTAAGTACAACTGGGTATTTCAAGCCACTGACTTCTCAAATGTCAAATCCCTTCTATTTTAAATATTATTTCAGCTGCGGGGCATTGCCGTCCCGATGGCTGTTCCACCAGTTAAATCTCAAATTATATTAATATTCGATTTTTGGAGGGTGGGGTAAATTATGGCACAAAGAGGAGGGCTGCCCTCGTTCACAGTGAAAGAGCACCGAGCTGTATTTTGGTTCCCATGTAGGAATTAGCTTAGCGTGGCAGCAGCGGTCTAACGTTCAGCCACCGCTCATCCTCACATTTCAGCCAATCTGGGGGGGGTGTGGTGTGGAAATAACAGCAAATTTTTGTTTAAGTGTATAAAAGCATGACCGAGAATTTCACTGCTGCGCCTTGATCACAACGTTAAAAACGCATCCAAAGAACGCTAAAGTAATTAGCACGTTTTAGTAACTGCATATTGGTCACAGCAGAAGAGGCTGAACTGAAGCTAGTCTGATTTCCATTATCGCCTGTAAAATCCTTTCGTAGAAATAATAGTAATAAAGAAATCAACACAAGGTCATTCCATTTCTGTTTTCTGGTGGCTTGCTAATGCAGCAGCAGGATACTTAAAATGCGCTCTCCTAGCATAAAGTAGCTAATTATATCTTAAAAACATTACTTATTATGACCTTATAATGTTCCAGCGTAAGACTGCTTTCTACGTGGCCCAGTATAAAACGATTATATTGGGTACAGGTTTCAAAAAGTAACAAGCATCTGTAAATCCAGATATGAATGAATGGTATTTAATAAGATTGTTTTCGTTTAAAAATGAGTATTTATGTGTTGCTGTAGAAAGAGCAGCAACGTATTGCTGTTTATGAATGCTATTGTGCCTGAGGTTAGGATCCCACACACAATCTGAGATGCAGCCAAGAAAAACAGCCCTGATAGACAATGCTTCACTTCACCTGCTACAATACTGTGCATTTCATTTATGTCAAGAATATGTACAGTTAGGGTTCATTCACCTCATTATTTTGTTACATCTACTTTACAGTTAACCAGTCTCTCTTGGAAATAATAAATAACTGTTTTTAAAACAATTGCAGCTTTGCATTCAAAAGATCTCCTTTCAATTTATAGGAAAAAAATATTCACCATTTTTATAAACTGGCTGGCTCTCGAAAATAGAATTTAGACTCCACCAACTCTCCTTCTGCTTGGCAAGATTGATTTTACACTGCCTTCCGTAAGTAGATTACCAAAGCAAAATGAAACATCTTGGGCTTTATCTAATGCTTTGCTTCACCAGCCCTACCAAACGTCAAAATATATGAGCAAATGTTAATTCTCTTTGCAGCTTTACTGTAAACACCTCCCTCAACCTCCTCAGTTTCTGCCTGAGCAAAAAGGGGGAAAAAGGAGAGAGAGACAGAGAGTCAGGGAGGGAAGGAAAGAGAAAAAGAGAAAAATCAGCCTCCACCACCAAAATATCATCAGCACTTAAAGGAGACCATCTCTTTAAAATGCCTTTACGTTCTAAACTGCATTAGCCTCCCTTCCTATCATATAATATAATCCAGCCTGATCCTGACTTCACCTACCCCCTGGGCCAAAGAAAATAGATTCGAAGTCTGAATTCTCACATGTTTTTACAGCCCATCTTCAAGAAGTACACTCCATTTTTTTTAAAGCAAACTTGCCTATTTTACAACTGGTTTCCACAAGACGGAACTCAAGATAAAAATTTCAGTCCCTTATAAACTGACACGACCATCTCAAAATGTCAGTCTGTGCATTCCAGTAAAACACGAACCATCAATCAGAAATAATCTGTCTCCTGCAAGATTTCACTAAAGTTCACAACCGTGAGATGATTTTGTTGGCATCGACTACGGAGCTTTTCTTTTTTCTTGAGGGGGAGGGAGCACCCGAATCTGATTCACCAGTATACAATTTTTTTTTCACAGCACCTAATTTTCAGCATTTGCTCGGTAATGATTCTTTTAAAAATGTCCTTCTCAAGATAATGGTTTTTTTTTAATCTCCACTCTCCGGTAGGACAACTACATGTATAAAATTGTATAGGCTTATAATTCTGCACACTATATATAAACATAAATAAAAACCTAGAGGTCAACATAAATAAAATAAAACTTTATTTTTTAAATAAAATTATGTTTTGGTTAAAGAAAAGATAGTGTGTCATTTTGTTAGTAGTACAGACAATTTTTTATCCAAAAGAATACATTGTGCTTTATTGTGTCATTTGTCTGAATACAGACTCAGTGGAATATCTAAATGATACCCTGCTCTGAACTCCAAGTTGAAAGTAAGTTTTTATTATACTTGAGGGAAACAATGGGTTCAGCTGCTTATTGCAAGGAGCAATTGTCAAGGGAGAGTTAAACTCAATTACTGTAACCATACTGAATAAAAAATACTGCCAAGAACAAAAATACGCCTGGGTAAAGACAGCCACTGAATAAAAAAATCGACATAAAGCGTATCAAATATTTATTTATCTGGGCAACAAAGGACTATGATACATTGATAGGCATGGAAACTACTGCCGGCACAACTCAATACAATACAACTATAACTGCTTCCAATATGGCCAGTGGAAATACAGGATACCAGGTGGTCCCGAATGTTTGAAGTTCTTTGGGAAAAAAAAAAAAAAGAAGAAAAAAAGGAGAAAAAGAAAAACAAAAGAAAGGGAGAAAGAAAAAAAAGGGGGGGAAAAAAAGGAAAGAAAAGCTAAATCTTGTTTTAAAAGACAACATTAATTTATTGCTCTGATGGTGTTTTCAGGAGAAGGACAGTGGATGAAAATAACTTCTTCTTTCATTTTCCACAACACATAAGGGTTGTAAAACCACTAACATGTTTAAAAACCTTGCCAGGGTCCAACATCACTTAATTTTATCTTCAATGAGAAACTAAATGTCATACTAATTATATATAAAAATTCATGTCTTTATTTGTTCAGCTGCTTCATTGTCGCCTTTAACATGCTACAACAGGGCTAAAAATGATGAATCCCAGAGAAAAACCCCCAAAAAACCTCTGATATCTAAATAAGTACCATGAACCACATGATGAACTAAGAGGGGAAGATTTAAAACCCACTAAACAAGAGGTAAACGAGATCACCAGATAAATAAAAAAAGGCTTAAAACAGACTCACCATATTTACAATTCCCATTAAATTACACATAAATAAATATATACATACATGAACACTGATTCCCTTATATAATTACCGTGAATCGTGTTGCAATAGAAAGTTCAAGTTGGTCGCTTTACCTTGGACAGGAAAAAGTTCTACAACTGAAGATATGACATGGAACTGCTTGTGTTTTGTGTTCAAGTTTATTCACAATACTGATAAAATGTCATCAGTCCTTTTCGCCTTTTGTTTGTTTGCTGTTGCTCTTGTACTTTTTTCGCCTTTTTTTCATTTTTAATATGGCTACAATCTTAACTGAAGTTTATGTAAGGGAAGGTGGTGATTCAGTCCGGTGAAGCTCATAGAATTTTTAAAGTATTATTTATTTCTTTTTGTTGATTTTTTTAAAATTTTTAATATATTTTTAGAAAAAAAAAAAAGTCCTTTTCTTTTCCTTTTTTGTTTTGTTTTTGTGGGGTTTTTTTTCTCCTTTTGTTTTATTTAAAAAAAAGTTCACAAACTCAAGACAGAACTTTTTTTTCTTTGCTGGCTCCGTCCCCCTGTTCTGTTCTCTTAGGCTCCAAACTGGGGTCAAACGATGGTGGCGGCGGGGAGAAGGGGAGGAAGTTAAGAGGGAGCAAATGGAAGAGTGGATGCTGGGCAAGGGCGTGGGGAGAGGGCAAAGCAGTCCTGCAGAGTCAGAGAACAGGGCTGGCAGAAGGACGCTCATTCTGTTGCTGTAGCCTGGGGTGCTGGGTGCAGGGAGAGGGAGGAGGGAGATGAATGGATCGATGGGCTATGAGGGGGAAGGGAGAGGAGGAAGGGGGGTCCTCACTTTCGGTGCTTCTCCTCTTTGTCGCCGCTTTTGGTGTTGTTGTCTGTGTGGCTGTTGGGATTGTTGCTGAGGTACATTTTGTCCATGGCCTTGAGTGCCTCGGTGAGATAGTTCTGCAGGGCAGTGACGGCAGCACACACTGCCGGGCTCCCGAAGCCGTGCGAGATGAGGTTGAAGTGGGTCAGGCAGCTCTGGATGCCCGGCTCCAAAATGGGGTTGGGCCGCGAGTTCCCCAGGGGAGATCGGTCCTGAGCCAGCAGGTCGGTGAACTCTTTACAGATCTGTCTGTAGCACAAATGGAGCAGAGAGACAGAGGGAGGGAGGCAGGGCGGGAGGGGAAGAGAGAGGGAGAGCAATGAACTGTCACTGGCGGCCGCAAAGCTGGTGCACGCTCCCTGCTCGCTGACACAAGCCCCTGGATCAAGGGGCTGCTGCCCCCGAGCGCACACACACGTTCTCTCGCCGCTCCCGCTCCTGTCTACGCATCCTTCTCCCCGATTCCCGTGCCTCCGTGGCACATGTAAACCTCCTCCCGTCCCCTCACGTGTGCTCACGACCACGCACACGCATCATGACCACGCACACGCATCATGCCCCAGCCCCAACCAACACACAGACAAATAACAGGCACACAGGGACACACACTCGCACACCCCTCCCGCATACTCCTGACAAACACTCATCCCTGCCCAGCTGGGTTTCAGAGCAGACAGGCAGTCTAAAGTTCCCCAGCAGGGCGGAAGGGGAACGGGGCACCGTATCCGAAGGGAGGTTCAGGGATTTATCCACATCTTGGAAGATCCCTCTTTTTTTTTTTTTTTTTTTTTGGAACTGGAGGGAGGCGGGGACCTCTTCCTTCACAAGGCTAAAACATGCCTGTGGGTCGGGAAGGAAGAGTGAGGGCAGAGAGGGGAATCAAGGCTTTAAATTAGGGTATTCTGAAACGTCTGTATATGTACATCTCTATCTCCAAACCCACAGGGACCTTCCCACAGAGGGGAAGGCGGACGCTAACTGGGATCTGGAAATTTCCTTGCATGGGGTTGGGAAGAGAGGATACAAGGGCACAGTGCAGAAGTTAGGTTATATCATCCACTCACTGCACAAACGGTTGGGGAAATAGCACACCTTATAGCAAGAGAGCTCACAGCGGCGTGTTGAAACAGTTTGTATTCTAAAAGCCGCGTTATATCTTCCAGCCATAAAGCGGCTCCCATCTTCTGCCTGCGCCCTCTGGCACTGTGCCCTTTGGTGACACCTCCAGTGGTAATTAAGGGCTACTAAACAACCCTTTTAATTTCCAGCAAACATATCAAAACAATCATTTTCTTTTCATGCACCACCTGGAAGTCTAGGCAGCCCCATCAATGATAAACTCCGCTAGCACTTTAACTGCGTACAGACTGCCGTTTAAAATATATTTTTAATATCCCTATATTCACTAAGTAACAGAGCTGCTTAGGCAGAAAGAGCCATTGCCGATTTTAATGAACTGAAATGAGTTTAATGTGCCAATTTTATTTTATTGTCAATGGGAAGCCTTCCCCCTCTACCTAAATTGATAACAGCTAAGTGAAAGGGCCCAGAAAATGTTTTGCTCTGAAGAATCACTGCTTTTTCTTTAACTAAACCTCCACCCACAATTTCCACGACTCCCTTTCAAGGTAATCTGCACGAACAGACTTGATGGAAACCAAGCTGGGTTATAGAGTTCTCCTATAGCAGGAGGGCAAATACACCCCCTCACAATCTGCAAAACCATCAGCCACTGGCTACGTGGCAAATGCTCACAAATAAAAGCCCCAAACCTGGGTTTGTTGCCCTCCCCTCACTTCTGAGCAACATGCCAGAAAGGTAAATGTCTTACTTTGTAGCTAGAAGCATGTTTTTTCTTGTGACTTGCTCGTTTGGATCGGAATGTTGTCGGTTGAGAAATTCAGCTACTGCTTTGGCAGGAAATTCTGTCTCACAAACGTACCCAAAATCTCTAGCTAGATGTACTGCTTCTCCTGAAAAGGGAGGCACGGGTGGGGATGGGAGGGAAACACACAGCTCGTCAGTACACATCACAGAGGCAAAAATCCATTAGAAAAAAAAAGCACTACATTCTGTTTGGGCTCTTCTTTTAAAAGGCTTGGACCTTTTTTTCTTTGAAAAAGGTAGGGTAAGAAATGCTAATCACATCTTATCTTGCAGGAGTTTTCTTTGCTTCGGTGGAGGGCAATGCAAATGTGTATTTTCATGACAATCGCTCCAAGTGAAATCTCGCATAAGAATTTTTTAAAGTTTACATTGACTAACAAGATGCCTTTCAGACAGGCAGGCTCCATCCACCTAGAATGTGTGCTTAGCTTCACATATCCATACCTATACACAGCCATTTACCTACATTTCATTCACAGCTATTTGCTCTGGAAATGTTGGTTTGCCTCAGCCACGTCTCTATATTCTTTTGCAATGCATCAATGATTAATATTGATCATAATTACTCCTAGAGCTCTTCTAAATAAAATGCATTAAACAGCTAAGTGTTTAAAATTTAACTTGATCGCATATAATTATATGTTCACCCCCAAACGATTAACCATGAGAATTTTAGGGTCATTCCACCGAGTCTGTCTGTTTTGTTGATTTTCAAATCTTTGGTTTTAATTTCCTGAACCAGTTGGTTTTTACTGCAGGGCTTCCTGCCATTAGCTCTAGCTCCGGAAGAACGCATGCGCCAATTAGAGCTTCAAAGCCTCAGTCCAGTGAGCTTGTTTCCATAAAATGGAGCGGATCATAAACAATAACAGTACTCTAGAAACTGCCTCATCGCTACAGGACTCAAAGCTCCAGCAATGTTTATACTATCATCCCCCCCCCAAATTAGCCAGCATCGCTAAGTTATCAGGCCTCTGGTTTTGGGGGTTTTTTAATTGAAAAAAAATCATTCTTTTAAAGCCCTTGTATGTGAAAGACAAACAGAACAATAGACTACCATAAAACCTTCTCCATATTCATTAACATCACAAATAATGTTAAGCATCTACTAAATCTAGACTTTTTACGAGTTTTCCACTCGTGATTTTTTTACCACAGCATGTCGATGCAATTGCAAAGCCTTTTCAAAAACATGAAGACGCAGTCGTTTTCAACCAGTATAAATATAGTGCAGCCACTAATCCTGATGTTTAAAAAAATGAAGCCTGGCATTGCGCAGTGCTTCTTTCCTCATCCCTTTGAACATGAAACATTTCTCACAGAATGCGAAGCGACAACAGAACAAAGCAACAAATTCCCTCCTACACAATCAAACTTAAGCTAAACCTGCACGGCCCAGGCTGAGCTTAAAACCGCCATGCAGACCGAAACTGGTCTAAAATGCAGTCAAACCAATAACTGAGGGGAAAGGGGGAGGATCTACTTGCTGGACTTGGGCTTACTTTGTGCCAGTTGGTGTGACACAGCAACTGCTTCAAGACTAAATGACTGCAAACTCTTGAGCTTCCCACCTCCCGGTTCTGACAGCACAGGGCAATCCCAGGCGTTAAAAGTAAGTTGCACCTTTTCTGGCCAGAGCAAAGTAGAAGAGAACGATGCAGCCAAGGGAACGTGTGTTCTGAAAATGAGAACCAAAAGGGAGGGGAGGGGGTGCAACTTTGAGGCTTTCAGGACACCATTAATTCATGGCTGAGGTCAAGGATTCCCAAATTAATTCAGGAAGCAATGGTCACGCATTTCTCAAATGCAGATGTCAGAAAGCTCAAATGATTTACTGTTATGTGGCTGCAGGCTGGGAGGGAGAACAAACTTAAAGTAGCTGCAGTTTCTGACATGTAAAATTGCTTGGTTGTCCACCTGTGGCAGAAAGACAGCAGTGGAGCTTTCGAGGCTGTGCTTGCCGTAACTCCCAATTCAACACTCAGGGGTCTCTTAGGGGCCTGAGCCCACAACCCCCATGGGATCCTTCCCATGCTCCCACTGAGATCCACTTACTCTGGGGAGGGATTACTCACTTGAATAAGGGAACAAGATGGGGCCCTGAAAACGTCTAGCTCAAGAGACTTAAAAGCAAATAAATGGCAGAAAGCAATGCTGAGTCTGCAGGACTTACACAAGCCCGTTTCAGGTTAAAACAAAAAAAGCAAAGGCTTTTTTTTTTTTTTTCCCTGAGGCATAGAAAATAACTCCCTTCCAATTTCCAACAAGCAGCACTGACTTGGGGTTAAAAAAAAAATTCCAACAACCCAACACCAAGTCTTCTCCCGTTAGGCAAACAGGCACATTTTCCAAACGAGCCCTCCTAGCTCTTTGAGTCACTTACCCTCCACGAGCGACGTGAGCAAAGTAACGTTAGCAGCTTTACGCCTCCCAGCAGGCAGGTTTAATCCTATTTTGTCCAGTTTCTCCCTCAGAGATCTCCCTCCGTTTTTAGACTTCGCCCTGCTCCACACAGAAAGGTATTGAGAAACATGACGGGTGGGGGGCACCTGCTCCCACTGTGGCTCCCCCCATGGGTTGCCCCGACACATCGCCTTCCCGTGGAGGGGAGCGAAGGGTTTTGGGGGGTGGGGGCATGGTTGTGGG